CCCCCCTTCTTTTTTGGGCTCTTCGCCACCTTTTTTTTTTCGAAAAAGGCGCAAGAAGCTCCGTCAAGAGTTTGGGGGGCGTTTTCCCCCCCCCCGGGGAAAGAATGGCCCCGCTTCTCCTGGACGTCTCCTTCTTCTGCTTCTTCGTCTGCACGATCTGTGATTTGAAAGGCAGTTCGGCAGCAAGGGCACGTGGCACCCGGAGGGGGTTGAAGTGGCGGGTCTGGCGCTCAATCTTGCGGTACTGGCTGTTCTTGAGCTGCGGCGTGGCGATGCTCTGATCGCGGCGAACCTCTCCTGTCAGACGCATGCCCTGCCAGCCGATCATGTTCGTAACTGGGTTGTAAAAGCGATGGGGCTTAATAGGGTACCAGGCGCGAAGGAAAATGATGTCGCTGTAGAGAATCTTGTCTTCAAAGGTTGCACGGAAGTTTCCCTCGGGTTTCGAGAGTGCGCGCTTGATCTGTCCTCGAATGCCGGAAACAGTCTTGATCGAAGCACCTTCAAACTTGGCGATCTCGAGAGATGAGTTGAACATTCCCTTGATGAAAGCAGTATTCTTGTGGATCTTGTCGGGTGTACCAGTGAGCTTGAGCTTCTTGACAATTTCGGTGGACTCGTCAACGCTGAGCACTGTGCCTGTTGCTGCTATCCTGAAGCCCGGGTTTTCAGAGGAGAAGGAGTTGAAGCATACAAAGCCAGTGTTGGGCGCGATCAAGGGAGCGTACACTGTCGCGAAGCAGTGCATATGTTCGGGTGTGTACTTGAGCATACGATTCCTCGTCCGCGAGTCCGTTGTGCTGTAGATAGGCATCGTCTGGAACCGACGCCATCCCAGAGAGAAGATCAATGGATCGTTCGTCTTCAGGATCTTCTTGTGCCACCGGTGCTTCTTCATCCTGACCTGGACGTAGCCGAATCGATCTTCTGTGGCAGAAAGACCGCCAAGGATCAAGGGTGTCTTTGCCGAGAACTTTTCAACAAACTCGGCTGGAACGCCCTCGATGACGAGCTTGGCGTATCTACCAGCCTTGTAGCCCTCCACTGCACTTCTTTGACGCTCGTCAAGTTCCTCGAACTCGGCCTTGTTGATATCCAGTTGCTTCTGGATCATAGCCTTCTGTGCATCATACCAGTCGTCTTCGCCAAACTCTTCAGTCTCGCCACCTTCACGTCTGGCCTTCGCTTTGTCGTTCATGAAGCCTTCCCGATCTTCCTCTTCGAATCGAAGTTTGAGCTCCTCTTTACGCCGTGCGTTTTTGGCTCGCTCATCCTCTAGGGACTCGGGCTCTTCAGCAGGGGCTTGGACGCCTTGACCTTCTTCGGCATTCTCGAGATCCTCGAAAACACCATCGCCTTCGTCATCCTCATCGTCGTCGATGCCGTCGAATTCTTCGTCTTCTTCGCCACTTTCACCGTCCTCCCTCGACAGCTTGGCCGAAGTGAATCGTTGCCTCAGTGCCTCCACATTCTTCTCCACGGACCACTTCGCGGCCAGGTCCTCGTAGTCGTACAGGGGTATCGAGCGGTCCTCGGCGTTGTCTTCTTTCTCCTGTGCCGTCTTCTTGAAAAAGTCCTCATCGTCGGAAGCCTCAATGTCCTCTTCCTCGCCATCATCATCACCTCGCCACCTCTTCAGCACCTGTTCGGGTGTCATGGAGTCGTCGTACATGAATCTTGCGAGATCCGGCGTGTGGTATGAGCGCTTCTTGCCGTGGAGTTTCTTCGCACGAGAAGACATGTTCTCTTTCCACTTGAGCGCCGCAGCCTCTTCGTCGGAATCCATATCCTCCATGTCCTCATCGTCGAAATCGCCCTCCTCATCCTCGTCGAATTCGTCTTCGGAGCCCTCATCAGATCCGGACAGAGAGCCGAGATCAGAGTCGCTGTCCGCAAAGGCCAGATCGTCGTCAGTGGCTTTCTTGTCGGCATCCTGCTTGAACATTTTGCCGAGTTTTCCCTCGTCGAATTCGGTTTCAACTTCGGAATCGCCCTCGTCTTCGCCACTAACAAACCCCTCATCATCTGGGACCTCCTCATCAGAGCCCTCATCACGATCTGCAAACCGAGCCTTCCGCTGAGTCTTGCGGCCGGTGTCTTCTTCTTCTTCTTCTTCCTCCTCCTCCTCTACAGCCTTGACCTGGTCGCCACCCTTGAAGAGCTGCACACCCTCCTCAGTTTGACCTAGGAGCTTTCTCTCGGCCTGCAATCCAACAATGAGCTCCTCGCCCTCACCGCGCTCGACGTCCGCGTCCTTGTCGAAAGTGAATCCCTTTTCTCTCGTAATCCAGATGGCATCGCCATCTATCCTGAGGCCACTTCGGTCTGACATGGGAGCGTGCACCTTCTTGTCCTTCTCATCAAGCCTTCGTCTCGTGGTTTTACCAGTGATTTTGGCGATAGCCTGCTCCATTGCGGGGGTTGGGCATGGATCCGGCAAGACCTCCATGTTGGCAATTGAAAAATCGCCCAAGCCGGGAATGTGGACGCGCTGGCCTTGGGCTGCAAAGTTGGTTCCTCGCAGATATCCAGACAGGACGACGGAGCGATCGCACTTAGGGTCCTCTTCAATTTTGGTGGGGTGGGTGATGTCTCTGTAGCTGTCGATAACGCTGAAGGGGTGCGTGTTCCTCCAGATCAAGGGTCGAGGGTTCTTCATGACAGATAGGTATCGGGACAGATTGTGGATTTCGCGATCGGGGTAGCGGCCGTTGAGAACACCGGAGAGGTAGAAGAGATGTGCGCCTTGGTACAGCTCGCTCCAAAGCCTGCGCTTCAGTCTCCTCTTGGCATCTCTTAGCGCCTGCGGCTTGCGGAAGAGATCCAAGTGTGTAAGAATACCGAAGACGTTGCCGGGCATGCCTGTGGCTGCAAGAACGTTGAGGAACTCCATCGTCTCCATCTCGAAACCAAAGTTGCCGTCGATCATGAGGAGCACCACATCTGCGACCTTGGCCATATCGACCATGGCCTCGAGTTCGTTCGGACATTCGACAAACGTCAAACGCTGTTTCTTCGAAGTGACAACAGTAACGGGACCCTGCGGGTCAGAGATCGATTCCTTCGCATATCGCCGGATCAGACTTTTCATCAGCGTCGTCTTGCCGACGCCGGGAGGGCCGACAATGGTAACGATTCGCGGAGGGGCTTCATCGGGAAGTCGGTCGACGAGGGGAACGTGGAAGCGCTTTTCTTTAATCTATTGCCCCCAAATCAGTTCTCTGTGAGTTCTCACGGGCGAGTCGTCGAAACGTACATCGGAGGATCGAGCAGCTTGCCGCGCAAGTTTACCGGGAGCGTTGAATGCGAAAGCCTTCGGGTTGCGATCTGGATTCATGTCAATAGAGTCAAACAAGACAGACATATTGACGACGTACCACCGGTGTGCTGCTTCTTCTCCTTGGCCTTCCTGTGAGGCTTGTGTACTTGTTGCTCCATGGTGGCCGACTCTGCCAATTCTGCAAGATTGGGGCGGACAACAGCTGGACACGTCTGGACAGGACGGGTCGACGTGCATCGAGATAGTAGTCCGACACTTTTTTCTGGAGGACCCGATAAAATTTGCGAGAGATCTTTATCTAATCTTATCAGCGTATCGACATTGCTGGAAGAAGTGAGCGACGACCCCACCGTCGTGCCCCTCACCCCCAAGGTGTCGAAACAGTGCACCGACCCGCACCTCAACCCCGCGGCTCAGGTAGTGGTAAACAGTGTCTCGTCCATTGGCCCAACTTGATTTCCATGCTTTCCATGTAGGTAGGTACATCAGATTGTGGTGATGGAGCTACTCTAGTAGAGCAAGACTATGGTTCAATTGTGTGGCTGCTCGCTTTTGGCACATGGAGCAGAGAATCATCACACCTAAGGGTATGCAGGTGGAGTTCACCGAGACCTGCCTGATCAGCCACGAGGCCAGACCATTCTCCCAGTCATCTAGCTCCGTCTAGCGAGGTAGATTTACTCTGACGGGCATGTGCCCGGAAAGCCAAATCAGGTATGCACGAAATGCATATGTCAGGGGATGACGTAGACGGGCAGCCCGAGCATACATGCGGCACGCACCACATCTGGCTCCATTCAGCACATCATCAGGTCAGGTGGGAGGTAGCCAGTATCAGGCACCGCCTAGCGGCATCTTACTTGTTATCTCACTGGGTCGACGGAACGCAAATACACGAAGAGCGTACGAAGAAGGATTGGCCGGGTATGCAGGGTGTACCCTCCCTCTGTTACGCAGCGCATAAGATGCGACATCCGGGTTTTATAAGAAGCATCCAGCACCCTCGAGCGTCCCAAGCAACTACCTTCCCGCAACAACGAATTTCATCATTTTTTCAGACAACCCAGCTCAGTCAGACCACCAACGGAAACAAAAATATGCCTTCCTACATTGTATGATTGTCCTTGAGCGGAATGTATTAGTTCAAAAGGCTTACTGTCCTTAAGGTTACGTGCAAGAAGGATGCGACCGACGACCAGGTCAAATCGTAGGTTTACTACACCTGAATTATCCCCAGGAATTATAGATTTTATTGGCTAACAGTGACACGCAGCGTGAAGGAGCACGCCACGAACCAGGGCGGCACGATCACGCACGAGTACAACCTGATCAAGGGTTTCGCGTACGTTTGAACATTTCCGTGTCAAGCAAAACAATGCTGACTTGTAATCATTTCAGTGTCAAATTTGACGAAGACACTGTTCAGAGCCTTGAGGCACACGAGCACGTCGAGCAGGTCGAGGCGGATGGCGAGATGAAGATTCAGTAGACGACAGCATTCCAAACATGAGGTCCCAAGGAACAGCATCACAACCCAGCATATAGAATACACTGCCCATCGGTACCTAATTCAAAGTGCAATCGCCTGCTTCTCGGCAGGGAATCGAGTTTTATCAGCTTCACGTTGGGTCTCGCACCCGATGCTCTCGGATGATGACATGTTGATGCCATTCCGTTGGCTTTCTAAGCGGTTTGATGTGAGGGGTGACCATGACGAGTGTTGTGGTGGACGCGGGGCACTTGATCCCCCGCACGGTATTGCTCGGCTTGGGTCGGCAGAGTGTCCATCAAAGCTAGGACAGCGCTACCCACGCTGAACTACAGGGGTCGAAGCACCAATCAAGCCGCTGCAGCGCCCTGATGGACGGCATCCCAGGACACAGCAGTGAGTCAAGTTTCATGCTATGGCTCTGACCTCGGGCTCATACACCTTATTACCTGTCCACGCCTTCAACCAACTCCGCCGCAGACCGCGACACATCACCCATTACCACCATGCCGACATGCGCGGCATCACATCTCCATTGAGGCATAGGTGCCGACCGACGACTTTCTTGCATCCTGCACCGCGCGCCCGTCGGGACATTTCTGTCACGACCAACCGGCCATTCCCCTGGGAAGAGCACACCACCCCCTCTCGCGAGCATGGCGGCGCCGACTTCTTTACACTGGCGGGCAAGCCACAGCATCCGTTGAGTCTCGCCGATCTGGTCAAGTAGGTGCTGTACTGCTTTTTCATCGTTTCCCAACGCTTCTCTGGCATTCTGCTGATTCTTTGATTGTTTTCCAGGCATGGCCGTCCACCATTGAGCGAGGCTTCCCTCCTTGCTTCTGCAAACTTCACACTCTCCCTCCTTCCCATTCGCCTGGCACGACGAATTCAAGCGCTTCGAAACTTGCCGTTTATCGTGGTGTCGAATCCCAACATCAGGCAAATCTATGACAAATACGAGACGTCGTTGTCGACATTGCTGCCGTGGTGGGAGAAAGGCAAGAACCCAGTCCGTACCCTGGATGACGAAGTCCGCTTCACCCAGGTCCTTGCCGACCTCGTCAGGACGCACACCGACACAATTCCAATCTTGGCACGTGGATTCTTGGAAGCCCGCCGTCACATCTCCCCAGCCGATGTGACAACTTTCCTCGACCAACATCTTCGAGCGCGCATCGGGACGCGACTTGTGGCTGAGCAGCACATTGCCCTGCACTACTCTTCACAGCCTCACTTCAACCCGGACGCCAGTCCGACGCCATGTCTTGACCACCCTTCGTTCGTAGGCGTCATCGACACCGCTCTCCGCCCTGCAGATATCATCCAGAGCCAGGCCGAATTCGTTGCTGAGATCTGTGAGCTTCGCTACGGCACGAGGCCACAGCTGATTATCAATGGGGACCCAGATACCACATTTGCCTACGTGCCCATGCATCTCGAGTACATCATCACCGAGCTCTTGAAGAATGCGTTCCGTGCGTCCGTAGAGCGACCCGGAAACACAGAACCGGTCGTCGTCACCATCGCGCCCGAGCCGTCCTGCGGCGAGGCTGTTCAGATCAAAGCACCAAGCGAAGAGCGCGGCAACTTCAAGAGCGACTTCATCCAGCCACTGGATGACAATGCACCCGGTGTGACTATTCGAATCCGCGATCGTGGAGGAGGAATTGCCCCTGATGTCCTTCCGAATATCTGGTCGTACTCCTTCACAACTTTCAATGACGATTTTGACGACCTTCCTGGTAGCGGCGGAGGCTCTGATGTCTACGGCGATGGCCTGACGGCGATCGCCAATGCCAATGTGGGCGGCAGCTCACTTGCTGGACTTGGATATGGCCTGCCCCTGAGTCGAGCATACGCCGAGTACTTCGGAGGCGGCATTGCCGTGCAGAGCCTGCACGGTTGGGGAGCAGACGTTTATCTCAAGTTGAAGGGCATCGGTGTGCACTGAGGGTTCTGGCGTTGGGAAAGCGTTGGTGCTGCGTACATCGCAAAGCAATATTTAAACGAGGGGCGTATCTTGGAGTATCTTACGGGCGCCCTCATGCGCGTTCCAATGAATTTGTGTAATAGCGTTCCACTTTGTTAAACATGACTGTTGTGATGATGTCGTCAGCCTCTCCAGGCTCTACTTGGAATCATAGCTCGTGATGTTGTTGGCTGAAGGGTAGATGTTGCTAGCAAGCAGCGTTGAAGCCATGGGTGACTCTGAGAAACGCACCCAGATTGGCTTTTGCAATCCTGATTATGAGATATTTGGACATGCAGTTCTTTGAGTCCTTATTGACGGACGGGCACTGCATCTCATGAACTCCTGGTTGAAGATTGAGAAATACGGATGGCCCTTGTATAGAAATACAAACATACAATGGACAATTTCATCCGTCAAATTGCCCTGGCGTGTCGCTAGCTTGATGAGATGCCGATTCCTCCACCGTGATGCTAGTCAGTTCCGATGCTGAATGGGAGTCGCTCATTGGACAGCCAGCTGGAGGAGCGTTGATGGAGCTTGGACCACATGTGCGCCCTGGGATTGAGGAAACCGTGGACCTTTTTGGCACTCGCAAGGTCGCTACGTAGGTGCCTTGGATTCGTTGGCTCAACTCGTACATCGCAACAGCACCCTCGTCTCAACGCCATCGCAAGAAACCCGCTGTCGACCAGAGAACCGAAAACACACTTATTCTGGATCTAGCATTCGAACCGCGATAGTACAGCTGACGCAACCATCTATCTCCTGCCAAAGCAACAAAATGGCCGCGGCAAGCTCCAGAGACCCTTATTCGAACCCTCCCTTAGACGATGATGACTTGATCGATCCTGATGATGGTGCGCATTCAATATGAAGCAGTTCACTCAGACGTCTTGCTGACCTCGTACACCCTGTAGCCGATCTCAACGACTTCGATGACCCCCTTGGAAATACATCATCTCGTCAGCCCCTGACGGGCAATATCGGCTCAGCACCCGGAGCCTCATCATCGCGCCCCTTGAACGAGAGCGCGTGGACGTCGCGGATACCTGGCGAAGATAGACAGACTCCTCAGAACACGATTGACGAGTCTGTTTGGGATACACTTCGCCGCGACCTTCTCGCTATCTGGGCTAAAATGCGCGAGGTGCTCTACCCCAAGTACCTGCTGGGCGGCACTATGTTTGATGCCGACGGACTTCGGGGCGCATATGCCAATATCAGAGGTGCCGGATTCTCCGGAGCGCGCGACGAGATTACAGGTCTTGCAAGCCGCTTCATGGACTCTGAAGCTCTCCTGTCGCAGAACACTATGACACCGGGGCTCATGGACTGGGACCTTTGGGGTCCTTTGATCTTCTGCCTGCTTCTCAGTCTTCTGCTCAGCTTCAACGCCTCTCCCGATCAAAAGGACATCGTCTTCAGTGGCGTTTTCGCCATGATCTGGATTGGGGAGGCGGCTGTCACGCTGCAAATCAAGCTGCTGGGTGGCAACATGTAAGTCACGACCAAGAATGCTCCGCGGAGAATAGTGCTAATCTAGCCTCAGCTCATTCGCGCAGAGCGTTTGCATCATCGGCTACACGCTGTTTCCTCTCGTCCTTGCGGCAATGCTGTCTGCGATCGGAATACCCACGATTGTCCGCGTGCCTGTGTACCTGGTCCTCGTGGCATGGTCGCTGGCTGCTGGCGTTAGCATCCTGGGCGGCAGCGGTGTGGTCAAGAACAGGGTTGGTATCGCTGTGTACCCCTTGTTTGTATTCTATCTATTCCTTGGCTGCCTCTGCTTTATCAGCTAAGCGACCAGAGATCAGGAGCATGCGGAGGCGTAAAATGTGGGAATGGCCGCTGCAAACCAGCAAGCGTAACAAGGCTCAGGTTCAACTCGGCTGCAAAACTGTGTACCACTAGATATCCCTGGAAACTTCTCTTTCTGCGCTACATGAAAGCTTGAGCCAAATCAAACCTCATGTGAATTGGACCTGTCAACTATTTGTAGGCCTGTACTTTTCTGTGGTGCTAAACCTATCGCCTGCCAACGACAGTTTAAGCATAATTTTTTTTTAGCGCATAATGTGAACATCATGAAGCAACAATGTTACAGACCAACACCGCTCCTGCATTTCAGCAAATCGATTTAGAAGAGGTTCACTGACTTACGCCTCCGTTTTCCAACACCGGGGTTGCTGCCCGTCAGACAGAAGCTAGACCCGCTGATTGGTCGCGTTCCGATATCATCTGCGAAAGGTAGGCCCGCACTAGCCCAACCTTAGCCCCGGGATTCAGAAGGAAGGCGAGCGGGCCAGTGGTATCTGCAACCTCATCACTTCGCCCAACTTGCGACGCAACCCACCTCTACTCTCGATAGTCCTCCAGCCTCGCGCCATATTGTCTTTGACGCGAATCTGGCAACTCCCCAAGGCCTTGCAACAAAGCATAGCCCCTTCTTCTTGGAACCTAGCTCAGCTGCGCACCCACTTTCTCATTCAGACCCCCACCGACAGACACGACCTGCATTGCATACATTGCCGCCCACCGCCAGAACAAACTTCACCTCTGCTCTCAGCAGCCATGGCCGACGAACCCCAATCTGGTAGCCCCAGATCGGACCCTGTCGATTCCAAGGAGGACGCCGAGACCGCCGCTGCTCGCAAGGAGCTCAGACATGCCGCCATATCGGAGAATACCGTCGCCGATTCTGTTGGCCAGACTGGTCGCACAACACCCGAGGACGACCAAGAAGACGACCTGAAAGACCGCATCTCATCGCCCAAGAAGAAGCGCGCACGAGACCAACTAGACGACGTCGAGGCTGAAGAGCTCGACACTCACAGTGTAGCATCGACCGATTCGGCCAAAGATCGGGCGTTGAGGTCGGAGCCAGAAAAGAAGCGGCACAGGGACGAAGTCGCAGATGAAACCGTGAAGACCACCGCCGATGCTGAGGTACACCTTCTCCTTGAGCCCGACTCAGCCTCCAAGCTAACAGTGAAACACAACAGAAGGGCTCGGATACGGTTGAAAACGAGGCGACGACAGAAAAGGCTACTGTTGATGTATCGGATCAAAAAGACCCAAAAACAAAGACGTTGCCTGTCTCCGAAAAAGAAAAGACAACATCCTCTTCAGCGTTTGCTAGCTCTGGATTTGCCAAACTCGCTTCGTCAAGCGCTTCTCCCTTTGGAGCTCTAGGCGGTGGCAGCGCGAAGAAGAGCGTGTTTGGCGGTTCGGCTGCTGCCGCTTCCCCCTTCGCATCCGCATCGCCTCAGAAGCCTGCCACGACTGCAGCAACACCCACGCTTAGCTTTGGATCAACGGGCGAGCCAGCAGCTGCATCACCTTTCGCCAGCGCTGCACCTGGAGCGAATGGCTTCAAGTCCGTTTTTGGTGGCGGCGGTGGATTCGGGAGTGCACTCGCCGGCAACCCCCTGACCAGTTTTGCGAAGCCAGGCGCATCCTTCAAAAGCGAGAAGCCTGCGAAACCGTTCGGCGCGCCAGAAAGCGACGCCGAGGACGAGGACGGCGACGAGGATGGCGACGAAGAGCCTGAATCAGCTGCCGATGACAAGGACGCCAAGGAAGACTCTGACAAGGAAGACGCCAAGGTGTCAGAGGAGAAGAAGAAAAGCAGATTACAGCGAGGTGCGTCAACAGACACTTATTACACAAGATTTCATTCTAACTGGATTTAGTCGCCGTTGATGATGGCGAAGCTGGCGAGATCACGGTCCTAGCCGTCCGATCCAAGATCTATCACCTAGTCAAGGAAGAGGGCTGGAAGGAGCGAGGCGCCGGAATGCTCAAGATCAATGTACCTGAGTCATGTGTTTCATTCGATGACGATGGCGTCCCCATTCCAGGATCTTTTGATGCCTCCGGCTTGGAGGATGATGAGGAGGCTGCTGCTGGCAGCAAGACCGTCCGTCTTGTCATGAGGCAAGACAGCACGCACCGCATACTGCTGAACACCACAGTATTTCCGGCACTGGACTTCCAAGAAAAGGCATCTCTCAAGGCCGTGGGCGTTTGCTTCACTGCTTTCGAGGGAGAAGACGCTAAACCTGTGACTGTACAGGCCAAGGTAGGAGCCGCGGAGTCAGAGATCTCCTTTCAAATCAGTGCTAATTTGCCCCACAGATGAGCATTGCAAACGCTAAAAACTTTATGAGCGAAATCGGCCTGATCCAGCGTGAATTGGCGAGTGCTTGATTGCATCCTGGGATGGGCTCTCGCCTCGAAGAATGTGCAGCATAGGATGACATAATAGGCAGCCATACTTAGCCGCATTTTCTTGTCACGATTGTGCGGCTCGGGCGTGAACTGGGGTGTTCACCGGCGATTGGTGTCATTGGCAAACAGGTCAGGGTGGAGGGTAAAAGCATGCTACCATCGCCTGCTGGACAGACGGTTGCCTACGTTTACGATCGAGCGCGGGCGGAGGCTTCCTGTCGGTGTTACGGTTGAGTCATAGACCGGATCCAGAAGGCACACACATGCATGGCCGTTCTGGATCTTGAGGCTACACAATGATATGTCAATTTTCTCTGATGTGATCTGGGTTGAAACTCCTCAACGCATGATCTTCATCTTATAGCATATGATGTTGATGACCAGCGGTCATGCGGTCGAATGCTGATTTACAAGCTTCAAGCTATCACTTAGCTCTACCCAGAAGACTGCATCCTGTCCAATCATTGTGCTCTTGCATATTCCTCTTACTCCTGATTCTGATGTCTGCCATATCAGCATTGCCGGCTGTGGGCGGTACCTCAACTAGCTTGCAAGTTGATGAGGGTTTACGACATCAATGTTCAGGATGACCGCGAGCTAGGCACCTTACGCCCACCTTTATGCTCGTATTGTGAGGCTGTTCGGTCCGGGGAAACAGGTCCGCCAGGTGACTTTGAAAGGTTCCTAGCACGACTACTTTATCCAAAACGTCAGATTTTCATGACCATGAGAGACAGACAGCTCTGATGATTGGTATCAACTTGAAATTACACGAATTCGCTGCCGGCGTTGTCGATTGCTCCAGTGTCTCCTCACGGGAAAGTCAGGGGCGAAACACACGTGACTTGGCGTTCTTCCCGCGACCTGTGATGGTCCGTGCTCGCGTGGCAAGACAGGCAGCATCATACACTCATGTATCGTCGCAACAGAAACTTTTTGACCTCGTTCTCGCACTCTTCTCAGCTTTGATATCACAAGCAGAGGCGACCCGAAGCATTTGCGTGTAATCTACAGATATCCGGATGCAGACGTTGAGTGCCCCTCATGAGACTTCAGTTCTAGGTCTTCTTCGTACTTCGCTGATTCGTCAGCCTCTCAACGCCCGTACGTATTGATTCAGTGCTTGAGGCCTCGCTCCTGCTGCATATCTTATGCTTGTTGGTTTTTTCCCATTGACTTGCATGTAGTTATCTGTCTCAATCTTAATAGGACCTCGTGAGAGAGGGCAGAAATCCTCAAGCTTATCTCAGCCGATGAACGTCATGTGTCGCATACTGTACTTGCATTCTTCCGATGCCATCAATCTCTAAAGAGCCAATACATGTGCTGAAGATCATCGCATAAGATTGCCACCAAGTCTTTCAGCCATGGAATCCGCAGATCCGCTGGCCGCGGCTTCATCGCCTGCTGTGCCAGAATCCTCGAAAGGAGGCAAGCGAAAGAGAGGCCAGACTAGCAATGGACAAACGACTGGCGATGATGTCGTTATTTCGGCCGAATTGCGACATGTCAGCGGTGACACCGAGATTGCGGGAGAACCTCTCGCGAAACCCCGAAAGCGTGGTGGGTCGAGAAAGCCGAAAGCAACAACGCTTAGTCGAGCAACAAGCGTAAGTGTAGTTGATTGTGAGACTGAGTGGCCCGAATCCTTCAGAGCTCTCGAGAAGACACACCGCGCTCTGAACCTCGTCTATACCTTTTGTTGCACGCGTAAGCACCTCGCTACAACCTTCGATACCATCAAATCCTCTGTCGAGTCGCATACCAAGAAACCCCTCACCATCGAGGACGTTGCAGCTATAGCTGCTCTGCGGCCAGAGGCGGTTAACTTCACCTATGTGGACGAAATCATGCTCCAGACAGAGATTATGGGAAGCGAAAGAGATGAAACATTCAAGACCGGCCGAGCCAAAGACTTTCGCGCCCAAGGCCCCGCCCCTGATGCGTCTGTTGGAGGTATATCGGGCTTGGATGGCCTAGGTCGTCACCGCGATGATGAGGTAGTCGGTGGAAAGGAGATACTGTATTTTGAGTTTGTGGATGGTGATCTCAAGCGCCAGGTCCAGGATAGGAAGACTGGAGAGCCTACGAAAGCCACGCGGAAACTGAAGGACGAAAAGCTGAAAATGCCGGTCTACAGCCAGAAGCAAATGACGACACTCATCGACAGACGCAACCAAAAGTTCTCTAACAGCATTAGCGTGTTCTTGAATCGATGCTTAAGAGAACAACGAGATCCTGTGGAAGCTCTCAAGCTAGAGGCGCAAGCTTACATCCCTATCCCGACGGTAACGGATGACATTGCCACTGGCACCCAGCTGGATAGCCTCCCAGAAAGCATTCCTGCCGAACGAAAGAGCATACCGGAGATTGTCGACGAACTAAAGGAAAGCCCATGGTATACAGGGCAGATCGTCCCTGATGGGCACCGGGTCTTTGAACCACAAGAAGCTGTATACGGTAATCTGGATTTCCTACTTAGCCAAGATCTGGTAAATGCCTTATTCAACGCAAAAGGTATCACGCAATTCTTCGCGCACCAGGCAGAGGCTCTGAATGGACTGTATAATGGGCAGCACGTCGTTGTTGCAACATCGACCAGCTCTGGAAAGTCGCTCATCTACCAGCTACCTCTCGCACACGCCCTTGAACAGGACATGGACACAAGGGCAATGTTCATCTTCCCAACTAAGGCACTTGCGCAAGACCAGAAGCGCAGCCTAAAGGAGCTCATCTCTTACATGCCTGGCATGGAAGAGGTGGTTGTTGAGACCTTTGACGGGGACACTCCAATGACCGAACGGAACATGATTCGAGACGAGGCTCGAATCATTTTCACCAATCCCGACATGTTACACATCACCATCCTGCCCCAGGAGGAACGCTGGCGAACGTTCTTGAAGAATCTTAAGTACGTGGTTGTCGATGAGTTGCACTATTACAACGGCCAGATGGGTTCGCACATGTCGTTCATCATGCGACGTTTGAGGCGAATATGCGCGGCAGTGGGCAACCGTCACATCAAATTCATCTCATGCTCTGCCACCGTGGCGAACCCTCAAGAACACTTCAAGACGATATTTGGCATCAAGAATGTGCGCCTGGTCGATTTTGATGGGTCCCCTTCTGGACGTAAGGAGTTCTTGTGTTGGAACACGCCCTACCGAGATCCGGGAGATCCTGCCAGCGGTCGCGGAGATGCTTTGGCTGAGTGCGCCCGACTTTACTGTCAGCTTGTCCTCAGAGGTGTACGTATCATCGCCTTCTGCCGCGTACGAGAGCAGTGTGAAAAGCTCGTCAATGCCGTCAAGTCAGAGATGGACTCGCTCGGCCGTCAAGAGTGCATGGGTCGGGTTATGGGCTATCGAGGAGGCTATACCCCCCAGGATCGACGTCAAATCGAGAGCGAGATGTTTGAGGGCAAACTTCTGGGTGTTGTCGCGACCTCCGCTTTGGAGTTGGGCATCGACATTGGCAGTCTCGATTGTGTGCTTACCTGGGGATTTCCATACACCATCGCTAACCTACGCCAGCAGAGTGGCCGAGCAGGCCGGAGAAACAAGGACTCGCTATCCATTCTTGTCGGTGACTGCTTTCCCACGGATCAGCATTACATGCAAAACCCTGATGAGCTTTTCACCAAACCCAATTGTGCACTCCAGGTTGATCTGGAAAACATGTTGGTTCGAGAAGGCCATATTCAGTGCGCAGCGTACGAGATGCCCATAAGACCAGTCGAGGATGCTCAATACTTCGGGAGTGATCTTGCTAAGGTTTGTCAGGAGAGGCTCATCTTGGGTGAACTGGGCTTCTACCATTGCCACGAACGTTTTCGCCCACAACCTGCTAAGTTTGTTGCCATCCGCGACACAGAAGATGAGCATTTTGCCATTATCGACGTAACGCACGGCAAGAACCTTGTTCTCGAGGAGCTCGAGGCTTCTCGTGCCTTCTTCACATTATATGATGGAGCCATTTTCCTGCATCAAGGAAGCAAATACCTTGTACGAGATTTCGATCCAGATCGACACATGGCGCGTGTGGAAAAGGTCAATGTCGAGTGGATAACGAAGCAGCGCGACTTCACAGATACCGATCCTATCGAGACGGAAGCCATCAAGCGCATCAATGGATCTCTTTCAAAGGCATTTTATGGCACCATCAAGATCCAGCAGAACGTCTTTGGCTTCTTCAAGCTGGACAAGAAGAAGCGGGTCATCGATGCGGTTCACGTCAGCAACCCTCCTGTCATCCGGTATGGCAAAGGCATGTGGCTCGATATCCCGAAGAAGGCCTTGCTAATCTTGACGGAGAGGCGGCTGCACATTGCAGCGTCGATTCATGCTGCTGAGCATGCCATTCTGAGTCTGATGCCCAACTTTGTCATCAGCATGCCCGGTGATGTCCGGACAGAGTGCAAAGTCGCACTGAAGGAGTTTGCGCAGAAAGAGTCACAGCGGAAACGGCCTGCGAGGCTGACCTTTTATGACGCCAAGGGTGGCGCCGGCGGGTCTGGTATCAGCACAAAAGCTTTCGAACATGTCGATCACCTGTTGAAGCAGGCTCTGGCCCGAGTCGAGGCGTGTTGGTGCGAGCACGGCTGTGTTGAGTGCGTCGCTTCGGAGCTTTGCAAGCAAGCAAACGAGGTCATGAGCAAGGCAGGGAGCTCTGTCATTTTGAAGAGCTTGCTGAACATGGAGATCGATATTGAGGCGTTGCCCATGGGTCCGGAAGAGTACAGCCCTGTTGGTATCGAGACGGTGGTCTTGGCTCAGCCCGTTCCACCCAGGGATCGAGCTCTTCTTCAGGAGATGGGGGTCAAGGAGGAAGATTTCGAGGAGCGGGAGGCTGGTACTTGGAACGAAGTCCAATTCTGGGATGGCGGTTCGACATGATTATTGGCAACCTGTGCTTGTATCTCACCAGCCAGAGAAGATAAGGGCTTTGCCAGTTGGGCCACTACCGCAATGGCACCTTGCCGAAACTCCTGACTAGCTTGATGCGAAACGCGGTTGCGCAAATACCTCAATCCGGCACTTGCTCTAGTATACCGTTTGTCGGCCATTTCCAATCCCAGATGTCTTCAACATGTCACAATAAGGTTACCGAATTACTGCCAACGTCCTGCGCGCGTTGGCATCACACAGGGAGAGCGGTGTTAACAGGTCTCTCTAGTTGTCAGGGCTGCTTCACAATGAATTACCCCGCCATGACAACCTTGTAGGAAAGAAGCTTTTGCCAAGTCCAAGCGAGCATTAGGTGTCACCTCGGTGTATATGTCGTCGGTGAGTCGGTAAACTAAGTTCACAGCGGGGGGTCTTGGGCTTGGGCTCGAGTGGCCAGTGAGCGCCCACAGGAACAATACGTTTCGTATCACATGCCCTCACGAGTGATCATCGTCATGTCGAAATGGACATCTCCTTCAAGCTGCCGGTCCCAGATAACCGCCAGCGATAAAGGGCCGCCTCGACATCTCCTATCTCAATCGTGCGCCCGCATCCCACCGTGATGTCGCCTCGCTCCGCGGAGATGCACGTTCTGACGGGTGACCCGCAGATAAGGCAGCCCACCCCTGAAAGGTACCCCCAAAGCGGCTACCTATTCTCGAACGACGGAACCTCCAAGTCTGGATCACAGCCGCAAGACGAGAATCGCGAATCACAATGCTCCCATTTCGTCTATCGCTGCGTACATGTATGCCAACCCAGGTCTCCTATCCGGAGATACACAAATATTTTGAGTGACGCAATCATCCCAAGAACGCCGATCCTGTTTACCCTTCCCTGAAATGTTCCCGGCCAAAGCCCGAGAGCCCTCAGACACCCCGGAGACCGGTCGTTCCCAGATTTAGCCCAACGCCCAACACCCAACACAAAGCCCGGGGATCCGAAAGCCGGATCACCCCATCGCCTGCGGCCCGTTCAGAAGAACAGCAAATCGTCCTCCTTCCACCCGAGGCCCAGAAGAATCGTCTTTGCGCTCTTCTCCATAGCCTCCGGTCCGCAGATCAGAACCATCTCCTCCCCACCGGCACTGCCGCCCGCTCCCAATTCGTTCTCGAAGAAGGCAGCGTCCATGCGGCCCCTAAGACCCGTCCATGAATCGCTTCCCTTGGTGAGAGTGTGACGTAGCGTGCATCTGCCCGGCGCCAACAGAGCCATAGCATCAAGCTCCTTGCGGCAGAGGATGTCCTCCTCGACCCTGTTGCCATCGAGCACGAGGCACTTGGTAGGATCCTCCTCGTTCTGGATGACCGCTCGTAGAACCTGGTAGATGGGCGTAATGCCGGAGCCGGCACATACCATGATGAACCGCTTGACCGTGCGCTGTTTGCCGGAAATTGTGCAGAGACCGCTCCCGTGGTACGTAAACTTGCCGACTGGTCCCTTGAAGTCGACAAAGTGCCCAACGGGGATCGAGTCGAGTGCCTGCGTCATGCGTCCGCCCTTTTGCTCTGGCGTATCACGATAGATCTTGATGAGAACGTCCAGCTTACCCTTGTCTGTGCCCTGCGACATAGGGGTGTATGCACGGATGATAGCCTCTCTCGTCGCCGGGTCCCGAAGTCGCACCATGAGATGCTGACCTACGGGAAGGCCAATAGTCTGATCGGGGTGCTCGAGGTCAAAGGTGAAAATCTTGCTGTCCGAAGAGACAGGCGTCTTGGCCGAAAGGATTGCCTTGGTCCACGTCTTGTTCTGGAGGAATACCTCGCGCTTTGCGGTCCGTCTCCAATTGCTCTTCACCAGAGGCAAGTGCCTTGCGGCCGGCTTCGTCGAGGGTGCCAATGTGGTACTCAGGCATCATCTTCTTTGCGTTTTCGCTGTCTGTGGGGCCGTTAGCTCGAGCATGCCAGGTCAGACCGACTGAGACTTACGAATGGCCAGGAACTCCTCCGATGCATCCTGTCCAGCAGCGCCGAAGATGGATGCTGCGCCTCCTGGATGGCCGTCGAGGTAGCCGGTTCCATCATACACTTCCCCATTCACCACAAACCATGGCGCCTCCTCGCCAGCGTGCTGGCGAAGCTCCTCTATCGTAATGGCGCGCTTGACGCCTTCCTTTGTCATGCAAATTTCCTGGACAGGCTCGATCGCCACAATCTCCTCGGATTCACCTTCGATCTTTTCTCCCCAGAAGCCGTTAGACAGATTGCCGCCGGCCTTTTTGATGCGCTCCATCCAACCACCAGCCATAAGTGCAGGCAGTGTAGGGTGCTCAAATCGCAACTCATGGCCCTCCTTGTGAATGACTACTCGGAACCATGGGTTGTTCATCATACCCAGAACGCTCCAGTACATGTCTCTTGGCTGCACCATCATGCCTTCATCCATGCAACGGACCATGATGTCGTCGGCAGCAGCGATCTGAGACATTGGGATGTCCAGATCCCAGAAGCACCAGCAGAAGCTCGATTCTCGCCAGGCCATGTCCATACGACCGCCGTATAGCATGTCACCATCGGGGGCAAGTCGGTATTCGTCTTCTGGGTAACTGATGTTGGCAAGGGTCCACGATTTTCCCTTGTCGAGCGTAACCTCCACACGAGTGATCCTGCGACCACCTCCACCGTATGCGTAGCCCCGGACTTTATAAGACTCAGGGCCGTTGACGAGGGAGACCTTTTCGTCATGGGCTGGGTAGCAGGTAGCGCTGTTGGCGTTGAGGTCGTAAATGGCGTAACGCTCGTCCTTCCAAGTGTCGGGCAGATCGGCACTGGCGTCGGGCGAGATCATAGTCGGAAGAACGCGGTTGTCGTAGATATGATACCAGTTATCGCTTGGCTCCTTGGAGACGATGATCTTCTTCAACCACTTGACGCTGCGTCCGCCAATCTGCCCGGGGATGATAATTCGTACTGGCCTGCCGTGGTCAGGGTGGAGGAGCTCGCCGTTCATGCGGTAGCAGACAGTGACGCCACGGTTAGGATCCATCGCCCAGTTGAGTTTGATGCTAGTGCCATAGTATCCATTGGGCAGCTTGTCGGCTCCCTCAAAGGACACATAGCGAGCGCCCCTCTTGGGCATAGCACGAGCCAGAAGGTCGCCGAGGGACACACCGGTCCAGAGCGCGGTTGACAGGCCAGCAGCGCCCCAAGAGAAGCCCTTTGTCTTGCGGACGACATTCTGCTCCTTTCGCCTGTTGCCAGCACAAACGAGGGTGACGGGGTAAGTGATCTGCTCATACTCTGTGATGAGGTCTCTCAGAGTCATCGAAATCGGCTTCTCGACCATGCCTTCCACGGTGAATTCCCAGTCGAGCATATCCTGGTCCTCGACCTTCGGGACAGGGCCATGGTTTCGGACGTAGTGCAGGTCCTTGTTCGTAAGAAAGCCTTGGTCGTAGAGATCACTAAGAGGCGCTTCGACGTTGAACGGGTGGACACCCGTTAGCCGGATGAGCCTTGGGTCTCTTGTAACGTGGCTGTCTGGTGTCTTCAAGTCTTGTGGCAGGACTTGGTTGACTGTTGGCGTGGGAGGTAGGGGGTACACGCGGGGCCTCTCGGCATCGAGCTCTTCAAAAAGACATAGTGAACTGGACTCGCCAGCTTCACCATCGACGCTTGCACTGCGGTCTTCCTTGATGGTGTCTGCAGGACTTGGGGGTAGCTTGAAGTCGGGCTTGATAGTGAATGTGTCGCTCGGGAGGGATTCCGGTAATTGGTCCCGGAAGGGTAAGGCAGGGGTCGGTGTGAGGATCTCCATGTTGTCGACAAGCCCAGTGTGTGTGATCTCTGAGACCAGTGTAGGAGGGTGACACACAGTGGAAATGATGGAGAATGAAAGAACAATAGAAGAAGTTGTTTGTAAGATTGGATCAAGCAGGACTGGGTTCGGTAGTAATATGGGAACCCGCGTCGAATCTACATCAGCAAGAGCAATGTGTAAAGCATTCTGTTTCTCCGGGGATTATGGAGCGTGGCATGGTGCCGGAAGTGGGTGGGAATGTAGGCATGGCGGTGCAGCGACTGTACTTCCTTGGGGGGACCCTCAGATCGCACCACCGATTAGCACTAGCTGGAGTTCGACGGGCGCGATCCACGGCAGAGAGATCTCCGGCTGGCCAGCACGTCAACGGATCAGTCTAAGCCATGTCTGTATCATAAAGACACGGCAATACCGACCCGATGTTTGGTCCACCTCGAAGGGAGGCCCTTATCAACGTGCGCGTGGCGGATCTCTTATGGGGTGGGCGTGATTGGATCGATGGTCGAAGATAAGGAGTCAACCCGGAGATGCGCCAAATTCGAGCGATGTTGAGCACTACCATGGGCTTGCAGAAGGCTTCCAGATCGTGTCGAATGGCCTCTCGTCATTTGATTTTGTGGCGATCCCATCGGTACTGCTATCTTACGTGAATATGTCATCTTGTCAGCGGAAATGTTGACTAGCTGCTTGGACGACATATTCGACGGTCCATCTTCCCCGCGTGTCTGTAACACAAAGGAACCAACTGACGAAGCTAATAATCGGAGTTTGAGAGAGACTTCTTGTCGGGCTTCAGAAAGCGATCTTGTGCCTAGGCATCGTTCGCTTTTGGATTTGATGTCATTGCCTTCTTGGGGTTACGATAGACACCCGCATCCAGTGACCAAGTCACGGCTGATAGCCAGGAGGAACCAGGCTCGCACATCAGGAGAAATACCCATGGCTTGCAAAAGTGTGAGCTTCAGCTGCCTTGTGCTGCCCCAGGGCAGCCTGCAGAGAGTATCGCTATCAATGATATCGGTGACAGATTTGAATTGGCTGGAGGTCATGGTAAGGTCATGGTAGACCGAACGCAATGGGAATAGCGTCATTCGTTATCTGTTCGAGTTTCAGGGTCGAGTGGAGCATCCAGAAAGGTGGACCGGTCAAGGAGCCGCCGCCACAGCGTTCTTCCGGCCTCCGATGATGGCCGTCTTAGTCAGCGAACTGGCCCAGGGCTAGACGCAGCTTCCACGCGGCTGCGCTTAACATTCCCATAGTGAAGCGGCTAAAACGGTGCGTCACCCTTCAAGGTGACAAGACTGTGCTCCACTGCGAATATGAGGGAACCTAACGTCCCGCAGTGGAGGAGCCTTCATGACCACCACGACTTGCCGGTAACTTTCGTGCCAACTTCCTCTGGCTGAGACTCTGGTGCCAGCCAAACACTCAGGAATCTTGCGCGCGCACGCATCCAACTCTAGAAAACCTCTTCTCGATCCACCGATGCCGGTGCTTGCCGATGCGCATTACGTTTACCTAGGGCCGTCTATACCATAGCAGCTCTCCCACCGACCAATGTAGCACCGACAGGTCCAGAATACATTCATACTCAACAATCCGCGATCTGTCATGGATCGCGCAAGGAAGCGTGAGCTCTCAGAGCCTACGTCCCCCCAAAACAGTGTATCCTAACCTCGAGTACAGGCCAACTGCGCTCCCTGAACGAACGCGCCTGGGCTGGCGAGACGGGTCCGTACTTTCACCTCTCGAAACACTCAGTGCAGCCCCCTCTGACTTGCGTCCTCTAGATGTTTTCACCGTCAACAAGTCTCTAGACTCTTCGCTCAAGAAGAACACTGCTTTCATCAAGAGGCTCCGAACCGCCATCTCTTCCGCCACCCTCAATACGTTCATCCAAGAGATCCGAACCCTCAGCCTTCACAAGTACCTGTCTGAGATCATTTCGGCCTGTTATGAAGGACTATGCCGACTCAAATCGCCCGGCGAGGTCGACGCCGGAGTGGAAATTGTCAGCGCGCTTCATCAGCGATTTGGCGCCAGCGAGTTCACGGAACACCTGGGATGGCTACTCGGCAAGGGCATGGCAACACCCGACAAGAGCATCCTCAAGACTTTGCCCCCGGAGGTTCGCGAAAAGGAGGAAAAGGAGCGCATCAGCCGCCAACGCGTGCTCCTGCGAATCGTATCCGAACTATGGCTTGTTGGGGTTTTGAAAACCCTCGATGACATCACTCGACCGGACGATGCTACAAAAGGTGCAACAGGCAAGGTCACGGACCTCAAGTTGAAAACAAGTTCCAGCAAAGGCGGGGCCGCGGAGCCATTTCCGTTGGAAGTGCTGAAGGATCTGCTAGGTCACGATCGGGAACACGCCAACTTGCCACTACTTGTCATCTTCGTCAAAGCCTTCAGCTGGGACATTCTTGGCGTCCGACCTGCAGCGGCCGAGGGACGGAAGACTGTGGAAGAAGATGGGGCCACACGACCTGCGCATGAGTCCTCGGGAGAAACTGATAGTGCTAATGGCCCTGAGACCGACAGCGACGACAGCCCATTCACACCACCTGAGCTCCAGGAGAAGTTCAAGAGCATCCTCAAACGTTACTTCGACGACGTCAAGAACCACGTTCTACGCGACCAAAAGGCCATCCACTCGCAGTCGCGCCGCAATGCCGAGGCTTATGTCAAGTCGGGGGAGGTGTTTGAGGACCGACAATCCAACTATGAGAAGCAAGTCAAGTCGCAAGAAAGACTCGTCGCCAACGCGCAAGCTATCGCAGATGTCATTGGGGGCCGAAATGCTGGAGCTGCGAACGGCTCATTGGGCTGGTTAAGGCTGGAGAGTACTTCGCGGCTTGGCGATGGTGCTGGCATCTGGGAAGACGAAGAGGAGCGACGCTTCTATGAAAATCTTGTGGATCTGAAAGGCAAGGTGCCTGGGATGCTTCTCGAGGATGGCAAGAAGAAAAAGCCGGAGAATGATGAGCAGGTCGGAAAGAAGATCGACGCGGCGGACGTCGAAGCGCCAAAGCCGACTGATGCCGCCGATGACCAGTCGATGGCCATTGCAAACAAGACCATTGGAGCCCAGGTCGATGCAGTCCTAGCCCGGTTGCCAGAACTAACGACAAAGGATGCCATCGATGAAACAGCGATTGACTTTTGCTTCCTAAACTCCAAGGCTTCGCGGAACAGGCTGATCAAGGCTCTCACCGAGGTGCCTAAAGGCCGAGGAGACCTGCTTCCCTGCTGGGCACGCCTGGCTGCGACGCTCGGCCAGTACATGCCAGACGTCCCCAAGGGACTTGTGGACTATCTTGATGCTGAGTTCCGCAGTCTGCAGAGGCGCAAGGAGAAGGACTTTCTTGGTCAAGTCCGCTTGGGCAACATTCGGTACTTGGCTGAGCTAACCAAGTTCGGCATTGTTCCTGAGCATGTTGTGTTCCATTGCCTGAAGGTCAGTATGGATGACTTTTCAAAGATGAACATTGAGATTATCTGCAATCTTCTGGAGAATTGTGGGCGTTACCTCCTGCGAAACCCAGAAACGTCGCCTCGCATGGCAACTTTTCTCGAGACCCTTCAGCGAAAGAAGTCGGTGCAGCACATCGGACAAGCCGAGCGCATGTTGATCGAGAATGCCGTTTACTATGTTGATCCGCCGGAACGCCCAGCCATCGAGCAGAAGGAGCGTGACCCTATGGAGCTGTTCATCCGCAAGCTGATTTACATGGACATGACTAAGCGCAACTTCAGTAAGATTCTGAAGCAGATTCGCAGACTTCACTGGGAAGAAACGGAGGTCGTCACCATCCTCGAAAAGGTCTTTTCGAAACCCGGCAAGGTCAAGTATGGCAACATTCACTTGCTGGCCATCCTCATGGGAGCCCTCTATCGCTACCATCCAGCCTTTGCAGTCAAGGTCATTGACAACCTCATCGAATCCATATGTTTTGGTCTTGAACTTAATGACTACAAGTACTATCAGCGACGCATCGCTGAGGCGAAGTACTTGGGTGAGCTCTACAACTACCGAATGGTTGAGCACCCTGTCATCTTTGACGCCATGTACAAGATCGTAACCTTTGGTCACGGGGGTGTGCCTCACCCTGGCCGGTTCATCGCGCTCGACCCTTCCGACGATTTCTTCCGCATCCGACTTGTGGCGATCATCCTGGAGGAATACAC